ACCCGACAATAGTATTCCGATGATAATTTCCTCTTACATATAGACAATTCCCATATAGACTAATTTTAAAACTAGGCAAGGAGATGCAAATAAATCACTACCCGACAATAGTATTCCGATGATAATTTCCTCTTACATATAGACAATTCCCATATAGACTAATTTTAAAACTAGGCAAGGAGATGCAAATAAATCACCACAGCTAGAAAGAGCATACTAAAATCAGTAAAATGGCAAAGTTTGGTTGGGAAATGTTGTAAAATGCAGAAAATATAGCCTTGCAAAGTTTGCAAATTTTGTATACTTTTGTATTGCGTGCGGAAATTGCAACCATTTTCGGCGCAAATGTGGTAGCAATTTCCGCACGCAATACAAAAGTATACAAAATTTTCGAACTTTGCAATGCTATATATTTCCGCATTTTACAACATTTCGCAACCAAACTTTGCAATTTTACTAATTTTAGTACGTTCTTTCCGGGAATTTACTTTTTTTGCCAAGACAAAAAATTAGTCTATAATGGGAACTGTCTATTCATAACATCAATGTGAAAAAAATATGCTCAGTACAATCCATTAATGGACCTAATGGTTTATTCTTTTCAAATGTATGTCCCATTAAAACCATTCAAATTATCGATTGAAAACATCCACAAACTATCGGAATTTTGATTCACATTAATGGTACCAATAATAATGGGTTTCATTTAAATACCACCAATACACATTTCGGCGCCAATAGTCACATCAATATTCACAGCAATTAACATTATGTAAAAGAAATAAAACCCATTCTTTATATCATTCATGGTAAAAACTATAATCACCATGATGTAATATATAGAACAAACCTATCCATATCATTCATGATAGTACTATAGTTACCATCACGTTAATATCAATACAAGCCATTAATAGTTAAAAAAGGAAACCATTAATGGTAATTATTCGCATACCATTGATGCATGGGTTTTACAAACGGGAAGAGTATTATTTCCCATCTTCAAAAACCATTAATGTTTTTGACTTTTTGTAAAAAAAATTCCTGTATTAATTGGAGCCCTTCGTAATTATGTGAATATTTTACAGTCTCCATACCTTTGTCTCGACTCTTAACGGCGCCTTGAACGACTGTGTTTGTGGTTTATTAGACGGGAGACCGGGTGATGTAGTTGGTTTTAATTTTGGTATATTTGTCGCTGACGTCTAGAAAAAAAATACATTACATTTGGGTTATTTCCACTAAGCCATCGAAGAGTTTCAAATCAACCCTTGCATATTTTAGCCAATGAAACCTAAAATGAAAGCAGTCGCAATAGATCGGCAAATTTAAGTTTTGAACAATATGCGAGTATAATAAAACTCTATCGTTCATTTTCCAGAAGAATGAATGTGTAAATTATTGCTCTAAATTCATCATATCCTATATACAAATTCACACATTGGCAATTTTAGGCCGTCCCACGAACATGACGGCCGGTTGGCAATTAGGTAGAGGTAGGAATTGTCGATCGCTGGCCTGAATTCCAAGGCCTTGTACATATAAAGTAGCCATTGGAATAACACATCAAGATTTTTTACTCACAGCTTGCTTCATTTGTTTGGAACAGTTCCTGCAGTACCATACATGTCTGAGGTCATTAATACTTTGATCTGTGATACGAGGTTTGTGGCAATTCTGTGAAAAACAGCAACAGATTACATACAATAATAATACTGACAAAAAATACATTATTCAGCTGACTCCCCATTAGCCTGCGAACAGGCTCTCAAGCTGAATTGAGAGCCTGCATCGATGATTAATGAATTTGAATATCTGCCCCGTAACGTTCGTTTTTCCAAATATGGAATGTCTATCCTTATATGGCGTTGTTTACAACTTTCGTGCAAACTAAATTTAGACAGTGCAAACTAAATTTAGACCGTACAGTTTATACTGTTTTTCGAAATATAAGATATTCAAGCAAAAGTTCGAATGTTTTAAATACTGTTTTCTCAAAACAGAACATTTCGTGCTTTGAGATAAGACGGCCAAGACCAATTTGATCAGTTAATGTGTTTTTTTATGCATAGTGCTTCAGCAGTTGACATATATAGAGCTCAGCGGAAACATATAAATTATAGCATCTGACCAATGAGAATTTCGCGTCACGATTTGAGACGCAGATATTCAAATTCATTAGTCATCGATGCAGGCTCTCAATTCAGCTTGAGAGCCTGTTCGCAGGCTAACTCCCCATCGGCAATTTTCACTCTTCAGTGAACGATTACATCAAGTATTATGCCTACTTAGGCTCCCCTCTTTACATGAGACCGGGATGACCCATTCGTGAAATTGTCCGACGTAGAGAGGAAACCACTGGACATTCTGTCCGACCTAAGTGAAACTGAGGTTTATTGTTTGTCCGACCCGAGTGTATTGGTGTCCAACCGAACTGTAGCTTTGTCTGACGTAAATCGAAACGTACCCTAGTCCAGGACTAGAGGCTTGTATGTTAAATAGACAATCAGAGTAGTGTATAAAGAGTGAACTGGAAATGTCGTTTTAATGTATATGGAGCGCTAGGCGGTGAAGTGGAAAATGGGCTTAAGTTGTCAAAGTCTTACCGCTGTTATTCAGGCAAGCCAGTTAATTTTGGCTTGGAAATAAGTATTAATGACAGAAATGATTTACTATCCTTACAACATTCATCGTTCAGAATTAATACATTGTGCTGATATTAATTTGTGTCATTCAGACTTATTCCCGAGCCAAACTGAACTGAAGGTCATCGGACATCATCACGCATATGTCCGACCCAAACTCACGTCATTGGAGACATCAGGCCTGGTGATGTACTGCATGTATTCGTGTTTACATTCGTTCGGCTCCGAATTCATCCGGTCTGAAAATAGTCGGTTCGGTCCAGCGAGAGAAAGGACTTCAGACCCGAGTCATAGAATTGTGATATTAATTTCCTATTATCCTAACCCACCCTGTCAACGTTTCCTGTGCCAGATGATCTTGATACGCGGAAAAGTACTGGCACTAGTTGTCAAATAGAAATCCATTTCGCGATTAAAACAACTGAATATCTCCTGTAATATACTTTATTTCGATTCCATATTTTTGTCAGAGCTATAGTTCTCATAACCAAACATAATTACAAAATTTCAACTAGTTTCATAAAGAATAACGAAAGATATAATTGACTGAATACATCAAAATGGATTTCTATTCGGACAACCCTTTCTGAGCGCTGATTGGCTATAATACGAACACGAGATCACCTGGTGGGAGGCAACTGGAGCGCCAGGAGAAAACCCACGACTTTCGGCAGAGTGTTGACAGACTCTTTTCACATGAATAACTTAGTTCTTGCACTTCACTTGGTGGAATTAATATTAGGATGTTAGGGTTTGTAATCCAAGTGAGAATATATACATTTCTTATCACAACCCGCACACCCGATTACCTATATATACATGAACTTACGGTTACAGCTCAACAGCTGGCCTCTGTAGCTCAGTTGGTTAGAGCGCTGCTCCGGAATCGCAGGGCCGTAGGTTCGATTCCAACCAGAGGACCTTGTGCTGGATTTTTCGCAGTCGTTCCTGGTCAGGTCTTAAAATTCTTTTCACATGAGTCCGTTGCGAGAACCGAACCCACCATCTCAGAGTTGAAAGGCGCCTGCTCTGACGATTCACCAACAAAGCCCCAAATATTTTTTGATAAAAGTTTTTTTTCTCCAATTTTTACGATTCAAATCAATAGTTCACCAAATAATCAATCTATATTTTAAAGTATTGCTACCTGATGAAAAAGTTCGTGACATTCATGGCATTCGACCAACTGATTTCCAGCCATTCCACTCTTTCCACTACGAAGAAAAATATAAACATTAACCCAGTGCTCTCCCCTTGACAAGTAAAATCATCTGGCATTAGACAGAGTAAATTTCAAGCCCAGTCAGATGCCAATGACAGAATACTCAATAGCAGGCAGGGGCATAGGAAGCATCAAAAGTTTGGGGGGGGGGGGG